GTTAATTGCTCCTTCCCCCCCCCCAAACAATAGCTACTAACTAATTTGCCCTTATTTAATGTTCTCAATTCTTAATTCTGTATTTAAGGTACCATGTAAAAGTGATTTCCCCCTCCCAGTGGTCCCCAAGTCTCATCCATATGGGAAAAAAAAATTCCTAGGACAGCTGAAAATTAGGACCCTTTACATTTATCTTTTCAAGTATGAAGACAATCTATAGAATTCTCATCTAACAGCCTTACATTGGCTTTTCTTAGTCTTTGTTTTTCTCCTGTATTTTCCATAATTCTAATGACGTTAGTGATAACTAATTTAAAAAAGGGAACGTGGTAGCACAGGGGCTTAATGACGCTGGAGCTTGCTGGCCAGAAATGATCAGCACTCCAGCGGTTTGAGCCTGCTCCGTGTGACAGGGTGAGTGCCTGTCACTCGTCCCCAGCTTCTGCCCACCCAGCAGTTTGAAAGCGTACCATCTGCGAGTAGGTACTCCCATTTCGGTGGGAGGAACCGGCGGTGCCTGCGCAGGGAAGCTGGAACCGGTGCTGGACCCGATCGACAAAAAGAACAAACCCTGGACACTGGATGTGACTATGTGACAGGCAGGAAGATCATTGGTGGAAGAAAGCCCGGATGAGCTGACTCCCTTGCGACCGCTGCTGGTCACAATAGAATAGGGTTGCACTGTAGTTGTATTAGAATAGGTGTAATTGTAGGTGTACTTTGTGAGCTGCCCAGAGTCCCCATTGGGGGAGATGGGAGGAGATAAATCCAAAATGTAATGTAATGTAAAGTAAAATGTAAATCCTAGTGATTTCAGCAAGATTTGAGTGTGGTTAACTTTTTTTCTGTCTCAGGTTCTAAAAGCGGTACAATGAAGTGAATGGCAAACTTAGGGATGTATCGTACAATGCGTTTTAGAAGGCCACTTTTACCCCATTATGATTGAAGTATTCTTGTTTTCAGGATGTGTATTTTATGTGCATATGCTTAGAAGCCACAGCAGGTCTTAAGTATTAATTGTCTGCAAAATTCTACGTTCCAGTCCCAGAATGTTCTAGACACCCCCCGCCCCCAGATGGTTTTCAACTTGGCTGTTCCAAGGATGGTTCGTTTTGGACTCTTTCTGAAATATTGCAGACCTCTTCCAATTGTGGATGAATCACCCCAGAAGAACAGCAAGATCAGTGCATGCTGGGAGAAAAGTAGAGCCTGGTGAACACTGGAAATATTCACAGGACTTTGTCTTTCCCTGTTATACATAGTTAGGGGTGAAAGGAGTAGATGCCCAACTTCTTAGACTTTGTAGCCGTCACCATACCTTTGGAGGCCAATTGCTTAGTTTACAATCAAGCCTTTATCATTTCATTTGCAGGAGTCTGAAAACGGCAAAACTTACTTTGTGAAGATTCATGCCCCATGGGAAATTCTGATCACATACGCTGAAGTGCTGAACATCAAAGTGCCCATCAAGGAGAATGATATTTCCTGTGCAGTAGAGAACCCTTTGGACTGCATATTCTGGCCATTTAGGCTACCTGAGATTGTTATGCACCCTGAACCCGACTACTTTACAGCACCATTTAGCAAAGAAAGACAGGAACTGTACCTCATTGATGATGAGAGTACGTTTTTCTCTCCATCTGTCAGAAACAGAATAGTGAGTACTTCTTTTACCAATTCAGTGATCATGCAATGCAGCAAGCCAGGCTTGTGGCTTAGATGGGAACGTGCCACCTAGCATAACGTGTGTGAGGACTGCTGTCAGATTGTCCCTAATGCTGTATGTGTCGCTGATTTGTGGTGTTTTTTCTTTTTGTCATACAGAATCATTTGAGAAAAAAACCCACAAGCTTAAAACAGCATACGTTTTCTTCCCCTTGGTTATTCTAGCCAGAAAAGGCCCGCCCTTTGTATTTAAATGACAGGACTACCCTGAATGGGATGGTACAAGGGATGGCTTAGCAGTTGCCCAAGGCCCATATATGGGAAAATTCAGCAGGGTCAAGCAAAGGGTTCTCAGCTAAGCCCAACACCTGGCTTACTGTGTTGCCAAAACACTGCCATAACTTCTAGACCTGTTGACGGAGCCAGAATTTGAGGCAAAGATGGTGCTCTTTGCCAATATTAACAGTTTATTTCACTGGAGTGTTTCATGTCTTTTCTCATTATTGGAATGGAAGAGCAAGTAGCTTGGCCCTTTAGAAGCGTGGAGGAGCATTGCTTCTCCATGTAGCTTCAATGGAGGAAGCACCATCAAACAAGCCAGCTCTTTGAAGGTTTGCAGAGTCCTAACAGGCACACAATTTCACAGGATCAAATGAATATATCCATAATAGGAGACTCACATTGTTTCTCTACTTCTTCGCGCAGTTAGGTATTGAAAAACATAAGGAAGTGAGGCTATTCAGTTGTTTAGATTCCTAACTGGAAGAATGAAACAGCAAGAACAATAACATTTCTGCAAAGCAACATTTATCTGGGGAAAACTTGCTTCCTCTGTAATTTAAGTAGACTTTAGAAAGGAGCACAAAGTTTAATCAAATAATTAGTATGAGTAACCAATTAATATTAACATGGCAGATATAAGCATCCCAGGATATCACCTAATATCCAAGACTTTTAGCCCCTCTGAAGTGTCTTTGATTGACAACCAAAATCTGTATTCCAGTTACATCAGCACCCTGAGATACACCAGATGTATCTCTTAAATCTGTTATCATTAATAAGGTGGAACGAAAATCATGAGAGAACATCAGTTTGATTGCCCCAATCTTACATGAATTACTTAAAATAAAATACCTTTAACTGGATTGGGGGGAGGGAGGGGAGCATGAAGAAGAGAAAAGTTTTATATTCACATATTTTGGTGACGCAATCATTTTAAATACGGAGATTGTTTTTCCCCTCTCTTTTAGGTTTTTTATATTTTAACAAGGTGCCCGTATGGAACAGAAGAAGGAAAGAAGAAGTTTGGAATCAAAAGGCTGCTAAATAACGGCACTTACACTGCTGCTTACCCTCTTCATGATGTAGGCATTTTAGTCATTCGTTCAGTTTCTAGTATTTTCCTATTTCTTTCTCTGTTTGTAAATAATACTTGGATACATTTGCCTTTGCCTTCTTAGGCAGGTATCCATATTTTTTTTGTAATTGTGAATATTATTATGGAAATTGTTTATATCAAAGATGTGTGAAGGCATGTACGTATTCTAAAACAACAAGTGCAAATGCCTCAGGAAAAGTGAAATCAGGAGGAGGGAAAGAACAATATCCACTTATATGGACAACAGCAGGATTAGAGTTTAGTGTTATAGTGCCCTCTGGTGGCAAGCACTAAACACTTCACTGGAGGGATTTTAACTGTACAGCCCAAGCATATAACTGTGTTGGAGAGCAGTCTTCTTAATTCTAATCTTCTCCCAGGGAAGTGAAAAGGAATAATTGTTTATTCAGAATCACTTAACTCTGTGATTCTGAATAACTCGCCAAATTTCATATAAAATAACAAATATACAAACCATTTCTCATGCTATGAATAGCTGAATATTGCCACTCACCCCAACTTTATATTCACCTAGAAATGTGTAGTTTGGTTTCTCTGTTGTATGCTCCTCTTCTCTTCTCTTCTCTTCTCTTCTCTTCTCTTCTCTTCTCTTCTCTTCTCTTTCTGAGTCACATTGTCGGAATTGGGCAACCATATAAATGCTATAAATAAATACATACATTCTCTTTCTGTACGGATGTGTGGATGACGTTAGTGTATTAAACATTGAAACATCCATACATTTATTTTGTATATTACAGTAGTATTGTTGGAGAAACTATGTTGTAATTTACTGATCTATTTTGTTTCTTCTTTCTCTTATTTTTTCACACTGGTTCAGTGTCAGTATTGGAAAAAGTTGAATGATCCAAAGTGTGAAAATGAAAGATATACCTTATACAGGGAATGGGCCAGGTTTCCTAGGTTTTACAAGGAACAGCCCTTGGATCTTATCAGGTAAATGATTGTCCCTGGTATATTAATGGGAGTTGGGCCCTTTTAGAAATATGCTATATTATATGCCTGTATTTTTTTTTCTAAACGATTCCTTTATATATGGAATATAATATAAAATCAGGCAGTGTATGCTTCAGAAATAATTTGGGAGACCTGCTTTGGACCATATATGAGCACAGCACCTTTTAATCCATCTCTTTCCCAGGTTCCACACAAGTCTGAAAAATATTGCAACTCTTTTAAGAGTCATTTAGAGCTGGATCTGGCTGGAGAATTCTGGGAGCTGAAGTCCACACACCTTAAAGTTGCCAAGGTTGATACAGAGTTGACTCCTTTAAGCACTTCCATATTTTTTCATGCTCATGTGGAAGTCTGAAAAAAAAGTTAGACCACTTTGATAGCAAAGAGTTGTTTTGCTTGCCCATCGTTTCAAAACATTTTGAAGTATGAAGAGTCCTAGTATAAAAGACCAAGAAATATATAGTAAAATAATTACGAGACCTGGTTTGATCATAATTCAAAGTGTTTCAGTCTGGTCTAGCACCAGAATATTTGGTGATGAATAAACTGAGGATTATTTATCCTTTGGGGTATGTTTTGGGGCATTATATCCACATTTTGCCCTTTATTGTTATTTTTAGCTTTGCCTTTGCTTTTCTTGGATTATTTTCCTGCAGGAAGTATTACGGAGAGAAGATTGGAATCTATTTTGCCTGGTTGGGTTTTTATACTGAGATGCTGTTCTTTGCAGCTCTTGTTGGCTCTATTTGTTTTCTGTATGGTTTGTTCACAATGAATGAAAATATGAGCAGGTAAGTATAATCGACAAAGCATCATTAGCTAAGTTATATTGATCAGATAATGATGAAGTCTCCGTTTCTTGCTTTCTTCTTTTTTTTAAATGTGTGCTTTTAGATAAAAATTCCAGCCTAATCCTATGAGCTGTTTTGCATATATTTCAGCATAAATCTATGATTCAGCTACAGAATCTATGTAACCTATGCCATAATTATGGCTAGGATACAGTTTCTTACTATGTATCGAAAGACAGAGGTTAACTCTGATTGCACACAAGCACTATTATCCCTTAAATCTGTTTTATTCAATATGCCACATCTTCGTTCATCCTCTTTAGCAAAGAAATATGTAGTCCCAGTATTGGTGGAGAAATTATCATGTGTCCATTATGTGATCGAAAATGTGATTACTGGAGGCTGAATTCTACTTGCGAGTCTTCGCAGGTTTGTAACAATTACTGCATTTGTATTTTCAAAAATACACACTTAACGTTTCAAGTATTACTCAATGGAAATGCCTGTGTTTCTGTTCTAGTACTCCCATTTGTTTGACAATGTGGCAACCCTCTTTTTTGCAATATTTATGGGCATCTGGGGTGAGTATATTCATTTGTCATTATGTTTCATTGTTAATGTTTTCAGAATTAATTTTAAGGAGTTGGGGGTTAGTTATCCAGAGGTAATTTTATATTTTATGTTTTGATTTGTACACTCTTCACAGTCATTTAAATGAGTGATATAAAATTTCCACAGAATAAATAAATAATTGAATATTCTGTGCTCGATCAGATTCCATTCCATTTACAGAAAAACAGCTCTGGATCCAAGGCTTTGTTAAACTACTCTGAGAAATTGTAAACATTACTGATCTGAAAGAAAGCTGGAAAGTTGAGTTAAACCACTGTTGTCAGTTGATTGGTAGGGACAAGGTTTTCAGCATGATATTCTTGCCTGCATGCTGAACATGTTCTATAACGTTGCAACCTTTCCCTAAATATGTTTATTAAGTGAAATTCCATGAATTAGATGCATAAGATTTTAGTCATGCTTTAATGCAACTGGTTAGTCCTGACCAGCTGAGATCCTGTTGATATAATAATATTAAGGTTCATAATAAAAAGCTATCATTTCTCTAGGGCAAATAATAATAATAATAATAATAATAATAATAATAATAATAATAAT